ATCTAAACCACTTATTTATGGATTGACATTAATTTTCGTTTTGACATCTATGTTCCTCAGAGGATAAATCCTCTAGACTTTTGTGATACACTGGGTTTTTCCTCTGATGCACAAATACTTTTTTGTTCATATTATCAATCAATTATATTGATTCATTGGACATTTCTGTCAGACCTACAAAACGTTCATGGTAGTTAGATAGTTTTACTCTAAATGAACATTACCACTCAGAGTCAGGTCTCCACCCTCTCCTGCACTCGACTTCAACAGCTTTAGCTTTGGGCTCAGGACCACCATGGTCCTCCACCCCACTGATGCCCACTTCAGGGGATTCTAAAGAGTCCTCTGTAGCACAAGCACCTTGCGATTCTGTGTCGCTCTTCATTTATCATATGGTCCGACGACGTGACTAACAGTGACATTCATGTGTAAATTGGGGTTTATGCCTAATTTTACCCCCTGACGGTTTAATCTGACCCTGTTAATAAATAAATAAAGCATCACATCAACAGGAGTTTGTAGACATAAGGGAGAGCATCTCAACTCATGGAAAGTGAAGCAGAATGAAGGCGAACACAGCACGGACCAATGCTCACATTGGAATTTGATTTGAATTGTTTTTTTTTAAACATGCTCTATTGTTTCCTTTTCACATTTTCTGGAAAGAAGCTGATGATGTTTGCTACAGTTTGACAGGATGCTTTCTAGAAATGACCATTTAATGTGGAACCAATTACAGGGAAAATGGAAAAAAAGTGTTCAACTGGCACTTTGACAATTAACTCAAAAAATCTCTGACAGCACAACTTGCTTTTTCCAAAGTGAGTGTAAAATTGAGTTTGAGAATTATCGCAGCGTTGCACCACAGTAGGTCAGCAGATACACAAACGTGCTTTGTCTTATCAAGCCACATTTTCTCTGAAGATTTAGCAACTTCAGCTCATAACAAAATATATCATTTGTTTTTTTAATGAATTGAAGGAAAAGACAAGCGCAGGAAACCTCCTCGCAAATGATTGCACATTGTTGTTCATTTCTTCTGAAATGCTGGTGCGTGTATCCTCACTTGACTGGAGTCAACACTACTGGGTCACAAGTTCTGCAGAACTCCAGTAAACAAGCTGCTGAGAACTGACTGGGCACTGTGCCGTGAATAAACCAAATCAGAGCCTAATGCAGCAGAGTGAGCTGTTACTAGTATCTGTGTGGAGCGAAGGGAGCAAACTACAGGAATGATGCTTCTTGAAAAACACAGTCTTCTCAGTGCTGTCCCCCCGTGACTCAGCAGAAGGTGAGATGCTCAGAGAGGCGGCATGTGGAGCTGTCAGTCAGCTCAGGTGAGTGTTGACATAGCCCCCAGTGGAGCGGACCATACACACACACACACACACACACACACACACACACACACACACACACTCCAGGTATTACTGACATTGTGGGGACCATAATCTGTTTGTTACAGTTACTTTATGGGGACTTGACTTCATTATGGGCACAAAAATCAAGTCCCCATAACATGAATCATATGGTGAGGACATGTTTAAGATTAGGTTAAGGTTGGTTTTAGGTTAAGGTTAAGTTTAGGTTTTGGTTAGGTTTATCTTGAGATTAAGTCTGGGTTAAGGTTAAGTTAGGAAAAGGATTTAGTTTTAGGTTAAGCATGGGTTAAGTTATTTTTAGGTATATGGTAAGGTTAAGGTTAGGATTAAGTTAAGGCCAGGTTCTAGTTTAAGGTTTATTAATTGGATTTTGGATTTAGCTTTATGTTAAGGTTAAGATTTAGTCTTAGGTTAAGCTTGGGTAAAGGTTAAAGTTAGTTTTAGGTTCATGGTCAGGTTAAGGTTTAAGTCAGGTTCTAAATTAAGGTTGATCAGGTTTGGGTTTAGCTTTAGGTTAAGGTTTAGTTAAGATTAGGTTAGAGTTAGATTAGGTTTGGGTTAGATTAGGTTTGGGTTAAGGTTAGGTTAAAGTTTAGGAAAGTAGTAACTGGGAGTCTCACGGAAATCAATGGAATGCAATACAAAGTCATTTAGACATGGCTGTGTGTGTGTGTGTGTGTGTGTGTGTGTGTGTGTGTGTGTGTGTGTGTGTGTGTGCAGCACAGAAAGATGTTATCACTTTTCCCTCCCCTCCTCTGGTGTGTTGGTGTGAAGGGAGTCGCTGAAAACAGATGACCTACATTTTCTTTGAGACAAACTCCAGCAGCGAGGCCTCCTCGGATTCAGAAAAGACAGAGCGAAGAATGGAAAGGCATGGAAAAAAAAGAGAAGAAGAAGAGAAAGAGAGAGAGAACGTCTGGGGAGAAGAAGATATAGACAGAGAGAGAAACAGGCAGACTTCCAGCTTGACAAGGCCGACTTGAGGAGGTAGAGACGCAGGCACACAAAAGGAAATGGGGAAAAGTTTTGATGGTAATCCTCTTCGACTTCGCTTTCCTTCCCTCTGGAGCGGTTATATAAAACACATCTAGAATTCTGTTCTATGCACATCAAAGAGCCTGCACCGCTATGCAATCTGCATATATGATGCGTCCAGGGAACAGCAGGAGGTGTGTGTGTGTGTGTGTGTGTGTGTGAGAGTCAAAAATAAACCTGTTTGCAGGGTGTTCAGATGACTTTGTGTTCACGTGAGTCACTTGGATCTGTGACCTCTGGAGCCGTCAAAGGTCGATCATGTTTTCCTCATATCGTAAATATGGAATAATCATTAAAAAGCTACAGATTCAGCTCATTCACAGTTCACATGGAGCTGTGGGGTTGTTTTTAAAGGTGGAGCGGCTGAATGAGACATGACATTGTTACAGGTCGCGTGAGTCGTCAGCCTCGGTGTCAGATGCCCTCGTTATGACTCCGAATAGTGGAATCTGTCAGAGGAATGATGTGCAGCAGCAGATGAAGTCATCTCACTGAGGATGAGAGCTTCATTATTCACGCCAGCGTCATTTCCTGCTCCTCTGCTGCCACCGTCTGTCAACCAAATGCACCTACATGCAACATGTTTGCTTTACTGAACAAATATGTGGTTTGATGATTATGATTTTACGACGTATTTTCAGGTTTGGTGCACGTGTTACGATGCTTGTTCTGCAGGTGGTTGATTTGCTTTCGGATAATAAACTTCAATCGTAAAAGAGAGAGATATGGAGGTTTGGTGCAACGTAACAACAGCATCACTGTAACCTACATACAAGCTTGCATAACATTTTCAAATGCCTCAAAGAAAAAACTGTGACTGTACAAAGAAAACTCAAAAATCCTCTTTTCAGGGTACAAGTACAAAGCTTTTTATATGAAATGTTCAAATATTTCTCAAATGAGACAAAAGCAGAACCCAGCAAATTCAACTGTCACAGATATGAAAACACTCTGCTTGGGTTAGTATTTTGAATTTGATATCATTTATTTCTCCTTAATATTAATATATAAATTATATTGGTGATGTTTTGTTTTGTACTTTTTGTATGTCAAGTCATTAGTACTTTCTACCACACACCACAAGCACTTTACTTTTATGTATTTTGAATTTATGTTATGTGAAATAAGACATGCTGATAGGGTTTTAGGTTCATTGGACTCTAAATATATGAACGTGAGAATGAAAGGTTGTATATTTGTATCTATAAGTGTGAAAGTGGCATACATAATGGATGGATGGTCAATCACAAACAGTTCAAAAATATACTTCTTCTCACATAAAATACAAAATCTATGAATCTCGGTAAATTGTTTAATAGAAAGTTTAAGTGCTGGACACATGTTCCAGCTGCATACAACAATACATCGTGGTACACATGATTTATCATGCTTGTAAGAACATGTTTGTGCTAAACTGAGGTTAAAGATTTCCCCTCTTCAACAGATGGATGTGAAACCAGTCTTCTAAACTCTATATCCAGATCTGCACAGTCATCAGGAGAAGTTAAAACCTCCTCCACAACAAGATAATGTTTTGCAGATGATAAGTGGTACTGCTGGTTTTATTAGTCATTAACACTGATGCACATGCCAGAGCAGATTAGAGCAGAGATACATCACAGTATAATTTCTGCAAAGACACTTGAATTTAAAAGTAAAACAGAAGGATAAACGTGTTCCCACTATTTCTTGCAGCCGTTGCATGATATTGACACGTGATTGACTAAAATGTGAATTACCATTGAATTCAACTTCTTTTGATAAAACCTTTTATAAGAGATTTGTAGGTTTTTACACATTAGTTTAATAATATTCATGATCTATAACTGTTACGGATTTATAAACCAGTCACAAGCCATGATAACATTTGGGTGAAAGAAATAGAGAAAATCCCCTTTAGCTGGTGCTAATTCATTCTGTGTGCTAATAATACAATGATTGTGCTTCATGATGCTTAACAAGTTTTTATAAATTACCTTGAATTATTCTCTAACGCTGTTTTCCTGTAGGTATCGTTCCACTCAGAGGTTAAGTGAAAAAGGCACTTATCACAACCTGGTAATGCAAAAGTTGTTTTTGATTATGGCTTACGACTGATTTTTAAACTACAACCCTTTATTATAAAGAGTGTATTATTATAAACAGGTACCAAAAATCAAACATGGTCAGTCTTACAACACTGATAAATGTAAAATAAATGTTAGACCATGGTAAAGTCATTGTGCAAATCTTTGTTTGTGCTTTAGTTCAGCTCTATCATGAGTTTAGACATTTTCATTTTATTTCCTATTTCCAGTCTTTAAAATTGACCAACTGTGAGGAAAATAAATCAGCATATTTCCTAAGAACGAATTTCCTTAAAGGAAAAATGCAGATTTAAATAAAATTGTTTTCCAGGTTTCAGAGACAGTTAATGTCATTATAGATTCGGACTTCAATGTGCAAAACCAGTAGAATAACACTGCGTTCTCTAAATGTTGTTTGTTTCCATCACACAGGATGTAATACAAGGATGTGCAATCAGTTCTCTTTAAAACAAAGAACAAATCATTGTTACACAAGAGTAATCCACATGATTTCCCCTCCTCTGTTGTTTATCGTCTGTAATGAGTAACTAAAGCAAACAAGACAAAAATATCTTGCACGCATCCGTCTTATCATCAGTCTTGTCTCTCGAGCATTTCCTCATGATGTGTCCCATTATAAACAACTCCTCAACTCTTTAAGAGTGAAATGTAATGAATTACAGGGATTGAAAATATACTTATTATATTTAATTTACAAAGAGAAATGAGACTCTCTCTCACACCATGAATGTTCTGCTGCTCACTGGTTTTCCGGCCTTGTGCTTGTGCCTGATGCTGGAGCCCTTTCGACTGCTGCTCTGCGACCCTCCCTTCAGCCTCATGCTGCCGGGTGCACTCTGTGACAACGTCCTTCCTTTGGCCTTCTCGTCCTCCTTCTCCTCCACTTGCTTGTAGTTTTGGAGGTTCTGGCAGACGCAGGAACGCTCGACAGGGAAGGGCTTCTGGCCCGCGCAAAACCACTTCATGGAGCCGTAGAGAAACTCAGCACAGCTGGAAATGGCTGATATCACCCCAACAACGAAGTAGAAGCAGAGGAAGATGGTTTTCTCTGCAGGGCGGGAGGTGAAGCAGTCCACTGTGTAGGGGCAGGGAAAGCGGCTACAGGGGAACTGGGCCTCCACCTTGAAGCCATACAGCAGCCACTGCCCCACCAGGAAGCCAACTTCTGCCACTAAGCGAAAGGCCACGTTGACCATGTAGAGCATCCGTATACGTCGGTCCTGTCTGAGCTGCTGGCTGCTGATTTGGCTGGATTGGGAGCGGCCGTCCCTCTTGTTGTGGTGGTGCATGGCGTACATGAGGAAGACCAGAGATGGGGTGGCGATGAGGACAATGTGGAACACCCAGAATCTGTACTGGGAGATGGGGAAGGCCATGTCGTAACACACCTGCTTGCAGCCCGGCTGGAGGGTGTTGCAGGCAAACTCCTCCTGCTCGTCGTCAAACAAGTCACTGGCGACGGTTCCCAGGATCAGTATCCTGAACACAAGCATGAGCAAGAGCCAGAAACGGCCAAGCATCGGCGACTGGGCCTGTAGGCTGTTGAAGAGTTCGCCGAGGTAGCTCCATTCCCCCATGATCGCAGCACTGTCCTGGGTACAGATTCTTAGGAGCCTGGAGATTTATCAACCTTTCCTTCTCAGAGTGAAAGCTGCCTCTGGCAGCAAACAGAAAGTACAGTCTCCAATTATCCCAATTTCATGACTCAAAGTGAGACTGATCTGCAGGTCAAAGTTTGGTCCACGACTCATGCATCTGAATCAGTGATAGCGGGTGAGATTCCAAAGACCTGGAACCAAAAGTAAAACCTGATTAGACAACCTGCAATAACAGCACTTCAAGGAATACAACAGCAACACTGGTCTGTACTATACCCATAAGTATAGGTTTCATTTGGAGTTGTGAGGGCTTAAGCAAGATGAATTCAGTCTCAGTCACTTACAAGCTGCAACCTGTGGAAGAACACCGGCTGGCTTGACTCAGATGCAGTCAGACGACAGAACAGGTTCAGCAAAAGGTGTTTCAGAGACACACACAACCTAAACCCTCCAATAAGCCTTAAAAATCCTGTCTGGGGCTCTTCTCGTTTATCTCCTGCCACACAGGTATGACCGGGATTAACTGAAGGAAGCCTCAAACAAATAAAAATCACATCCAATCCAGGTGTTAAGCTCACGTCCACAGCGACTTGTGTTGCTCTCACTTGCTCCAAATGGCCTGTGATCGAGGTTTTGCCGGTGCTTATAATTGAAAGGGCGGCGACTGTTTAAGGAAATTCCTCACCCACTAGAGTCCCTGACAGAAGTGATGTTTACCCAAAGAAAGGCTGAGTTTTGAGCATTTTCAAAGGGTTTCCTAAATGACAGGAAGGATCTGTTCTAAACTGTACCACCGGTTTCCCTGGTCACATGGGCTTACAGGAGAAAATGTAAACCGACTGAAGCAAGCTCTGATTAACGTTTGCAATCACTGGCATCACAACACGTCTTTGAGCTCAGGGGTTCTAAGTTTAGGATTTGTTCAGTCACTACTTCTCAATGACAATGTGCCTTTGAACCTGTGAATCAAAGACTACACCAACCAGCCTGCATTTACTGTAAACTCCATTCTGCATCATTATCACAAATGATTACCTGGTTTTATTGCGGCTGATTACTCTGATAACTTCAACTGTCAATGATCAACTTGTGAATAAAAAACAATCACTAACTCCTGATGTAAAAATAAAATGTTACTCACCCATTCATATTTCCAAATGACCCGTTCCTCAGTGAATCTACCACATGTCACAGAGGCTCCTCCCCTCCTTACACACTCATGAGACCCGGACTTGTACAAACATAATCGGTGAAATGTTTCATTAGACGTCACCGGTCGAGCAAGATTTTCATGCAAATCAAATTTCCACAAAAATATAAATCAGTACAAACATGTTAGCTTTATTCTTCAACATATAAAACAAACAGCCATTGAAATATTTACAGGGAAAGACATAGGGGGGGTTATAAAAAGAGGAACTTTCAAGAAATTCAATTTAAGGCTTAAAACTTGGCTGACACACAGATAGAACCAGGTCCAAGCAAACAACACATCAAATATTTTTAAACTTCGGTTTTCTTTGCTGTGCAACAACTCAGTATAAAATGGACACTGACTTAAATGCAAAAATTTAAAAGTCTCCATCTGAGTCGGAGTCCAGGTTGTAGGTCACAGGTTTGCGGGCACGTGAGGGCTTGTCCCGCGGTGCTGTGGCTTTGGGAGGTGCTGACGTCTCCTGATCTGAAACCTGGAAGCTGTCATCCTCTTCCCATTTCTTTGTTTTCTATACAATGGAAAATATTCAGGCACAAACAAGGTGTTAATAGACTCCAAAATCTCTGAATAAGTATAGAAAGCCTCTAGAGACTTCCTTGGAAAATCAGAATTCTGTGTGAACGCTGACCTTGCTGCCGGCGGTCGTTTTGGCCTTGAGGCGTGACATGAGGTTGTCGGAGCTGCTGTCGGAGTCGTCACTGACGACTTTTTTCCGCTTGAGAACGGGCTTTGCCTTTGTAGCTTTAACTTCGGCTTCTGAGTCACTGGAGTCAAATGAAGGGACGGTCTTGGCGGCAGTTTTGGAAGAAGGTTTGGGCTTAGAGAGAGCGTCCAGGATAGACGGCTGCTTCACATCTAAGAGGAATGAACAGGAAAAACAAACCACACTGAGATATGGTAATTAGCTGAGGATTTAACCCCCACCTTAAGTGTCTGATCTATACGATTCCAAGAAGTATATTACACATATTACAATTTAACTTTTGAGAGTGTCGTTACTGTTAATATAAAATAACGCATGACAACTTTCAAATTTAAACTATACATGCGATCTTTAGCCTGTACGATATAAGCCGCACTAAGCTCTTCATACTAGTGTGTTACTATTGTTTTACTACTCATTTGTATTTTTGTACCTTTCATATTCCTTTGTCAATGCTATCATGTCATTAATTATTTATTCTTGCTAAGTCTCTGCATGTAATTCTGTGTTTATAATAGTTAAATATTTATATATTTACACGTGTTAATGTGTAATTTGTGTTTTTTTCAACCTGCAGTTATAAACTAGCCTGCATGACTAAATCTGGGACATTTGCATGTTGGACTATTTAATGAAAATTGCCCCTTTAATGAAATGATCCTGAACATAAATACCTGCAGCCTTCTTCTTGGGAGCAGCTGGTTTCTTGGGAGCAGCTGGTTTCTTGGGAGCGGCAGCTTTCTTGGGCGCAGCCTCTTTGGTTTTGCGTTGAACTGGAGCCTTGGACGGAGGCAACTGATCATCTGACTGAGCTGAACAGATCCACAGAGAGAAAACAGTTGAATATCAAGCTCAACATTTCATCAGACTCATCACATGGGTCTGCTGTGAAATCACTTACAGCTCGACTTGGTTTCAGCCTTTTTCACTATTGGTTTGCTCTTTGTGACTTTATTCCTGAAAAGAAATTATGAAATATGTGGTAAATAAACTTAACGTGAAACTCAATGTGAAAGAAGCTTTATTTATTTTATCGAGGCTGTTGTCTGATACTCACGCAGGTTCTGGGACTTTAGGTGGTGGCGCTGGAGAGTCCATTTCACTGTCGGCCATGGTGCTGGGGTCTGGGGCGAAGCTGGTATCGTCATCACTGATAACTGCTTTCCTTTTTGGAGCATCCTTCTTCCCCCAGTCCTCAAATTCATCTTCACTGTCAGACATGCTGTATTTTACCGCAGCTGAGGAAGTAAGCAACAGAAAGGGTTGTTTTTACAATTCGGTTTTTTTTAAGTTTGTTATGCAAGAGTCCACCTCATAATATATGAGTCATCAAGGTAGAATTAGATTGAGATAAGAGAGCTCAGGAAATTAGTTCTATCTGTGTTTTAATTCAAAATACTAAAACAAGTCTGGAATGTTCCGATTTCGTCTCATGGTCTGGGGAAGGGAAGCACTTAAAAAAATAAAATAAAAAAAAACAATCTGCGGAGTATTCACTGCGTATGAGTCTTTTCATTAAATGAGAAATGTCACAATCCACCCGTCTTATCTATTAGTGAAGAGGGACATTGGGGTCACAGATTTACCTTTAGTTTTACGTTCAACGCGCTCCCTGGCGACAACCACCTCCTCCGTCTCCATGTCACTGATGGACAGATCTTCAGACTCATTCTCAGACCACGGGTCATTCTTGGGCTTCTTGGCAACAGGCTTGAACTGAATAGTGGACTGCTTGCCTGTCTTTGACGCGGCTGCAGAGAAACACGTTTTGTTTTAGTAATTTTTAATACAAATGCGATGACGCTTCTCTACAGTACTTTGAGAAGAAAGCTGCTATTAAATTCACAAACTGTGGGTATTTGTCATGTCTCATCTCTGAACGGCAAAATGATTTATTTAGCTGGTGGCCTGTGTGAAACTGATTTTGGGAAATCTCAATTTTGGCTTTCAAAAGAAAACTGTTCATCAGAGTTGGCGCAAACAAAAGGTCACATGGTCTGTGTTCGCCTCTGCACTAGATTAAAATCAAAACATTGTAGTGGAACATCTCTAACTGGTATGAGAGACATTTTCTCCACCTTTTTCTTTTGGCTGAGTTTTAGTTTTCTTGCTCAGCCGTGCAGCCAAGCCCAGCTCCTCAGCTGGCTCTGTGTTCTCTCCATCTTCGCCAAACTCCATCTTCACCACAACATCTTCACTCTGCAATTACAGAAATAAAGTCAAGCAACATCTTACAATCAGTTGGGGATTGTGCTATAGCAAGATACAGACAATAAGTGGGATGATTCAACTACCGCCCTAATTCACAAATAACGATCTTCAAGAGACACGAACTTTGAAAAGACCCACCTTGATCTTCTTGCCCCTCTTGCTCTCTCCTTTCTTGAGATCAGCCTTCCTGTTGGCCTCAGCTTTCATGGTGCTGGTGACCCGCGGGATGACGCGGCGGCCCTGGGGTGTGGGCAGAGTCTCCTGCTTCACCTTCACTGATTTGCCTTTTCCAGTCCCCTTTCCGGCAGGCATGGCGTTACTCTCCTTTTCTTTTGCCTCAACGCGCTAAGAATAAGGCGGAACAAGATCTGATTAAGGAGGGGAACGTTTAAAGGAGACAACTCTGGATGTAATTAGAGTTTCATAATGTCCATCAACACTCAATATGTTACAACGATATATGTCAATTAGCCACATTATGAGAAAAGAAGAAGTGTCAATACCACAAGTTCCTCAGAGAAAGCAGCAAGGTCTTCCCTCCACAAGTCTGCTGGATTCTTCTTCTTCAGGGTGTTCAGCTCTGTCATCTGTAGAACAGCAGTTGAGTCAAAAAATGGCAAAATTTAGATGAAAGTGTCCAATTGAAAACTTTGGATTTTGACCATCAGTGAGCTTGTGGCATCCCACCTTAGCATCCCTCTGTTTGCACAGCTCCTCTTTCTTCTCTTTGGTCAGGAACCACATGGGCATACTGAGTAGGTAGTTGTAATCCGGCGCACTAGGGTCTTCCTTCTCTGCTCCTTCCTCCTCATCTCCCTCCTCCAGCTCCTCCTCGTTCTAAACGCATGAAAACAAATAAAGAATTGGGTTTGCACCAGTGGAGGCTGAGTATTCAACATTACTCACTGAAA